AGGTCTCTTCGTCACGGTCACTGCCCCAACCCCAGCCCCTCTGAGCCAGTTAAGCACCGTGGGCAATGGCCGGCTGAGCTCTCTTGCTTGTCCTGGATTAGGTTGCTATTGCCTGGCAGCAGGGCTGCGGTTCCTCCAAGACAGTGTCTGGAGGCGGCATCGCCCGTTTGCTTCTTTTCCAGGCTGCAGGGAAGGCAAAACCTCAGAGCTTCAGCATTTGCCTGAAGGCTGCTGAACTCTGGGTGGCAGGTGCCTGTTTTCAGGCTGGCAGGCAGGAGGGCCGTGCGCTGCCTGCTCCCAGGCAAGCTGGCTGCACACACGTGGAGCCAAGGTCGGCTCTTCGTGGGCTCGCTGGGTGCGGCTGCCCCCGGGAGCCGCCGCCTGGCCCCAGGCAGCCTCTCCAGCCCTGCTGACCAGGGGGTGTAGTCTGAGGAGCCCAAGTTGACACTGAAAAAGAGGAAAACATTTCCTGTCTCGTTAGTCCAATATTTGAATTAGAGTTGGGCTTGGAGAGGAACCTCATGGCTCTCCAGAGATAAGACCTCACGTGCTCCCATGCCAGCGTTAATGCTGCTCCAAAGCCGGAGAAAGACCTGAAAGGGGCACTGTTCCACCTGCCGCCCCACGGCGCCGGGGGCCAGCACTGAGCTGTGCTCAATGGGGCATCCTTGGATGTGGCTCCAGCCAGTGGCTGCCCTCGCTCTGCTGCAGGTCCAGCCCAGGACACATGCCGGAGCTGCTGGGGACACTATAGGTGGTTGCCCGCATCGGCCACTCTCACGATCGGGCAGGGAGACGGAGCTAACCCCCATGCCAGCTTCTTGTCCTACTCTGCCTTGCCGCTGCCCTGGGAAGGGCAAAGATCAGGGGCTTTGCAAAAGGATGAGGAGTCGGAGCAGCAGGTGCCCTGGTGGGTGCAGTCCCCAGAGCACCTGGGATCCCTTCTGTTTGCAGCCCCGGGAGACAAAGAGATGCTGACCAAGGAGCCAGCAGAAGCTCTTAGACTGATTTGCTCACGTGGGGTTTCCAGGAGAAGACATAGCGCAGGCTGGGAGAGGAGCCGGCCCCTCCTCACCCGCAGTGCTTTGGGAGAGGCCCTGCTGGTACTTGTCTGGAAGCGTTTAGGTGCGGCCGGGGCTCCCTGGGACAGGAGAGTTGGCGAGGTGACCTCTGGACGTCCTTGGCTCCCTCGTGTTTTCTCGCTATTGCCAGCTCTGCCATGGTGGACATGGATGGTGGGGCTGGCAGCAGGGCGGTGCGGCCGCAGCGAGCGCTGACCCCTCCTGCTCTCCGGGCTGTCCCTGGGCCCGCACAGCACGACTGCTGCGGAATCCGGCCAGCCTCAGCAGGGGCATGAAACATGCACAAACCCTGAGTGCAAGGGTCCCTGCCAGCCTCTTGGTGCAACCCCTACTCCCACAATTGAAGTTACAAATCCTTCACATGGGGAAAGGCTGTCTGAGCTCAGCAGTAAATGAATAGAACCATTAATGCTCTGTCCTCCCAGCAAGCAAAGCCTCTGCAGAGGCGAAGCTCCTTGCAACATGCGAGTATCAGCTGCCTCTTTGTCCTGTAATTGCAATTGCATTTCTGCTAGGGCTGAGGTCAGAGTTGGTTCATGCTTTAAAGAAAGCCAAGGAGGACGTCTCTGAATGGAGGCTGTTCCCCCAAATGCCCTCCACCTTTTAGCTTTGGCTTTCAGGTGCAGCTGCCCACGCGGTGCTGCTGCGGGGTGCTCCTGCTGCCAGAGCGGGTGCCCAGGCTTGGGCTTCTGCTCCCCCAGAGGATGTAGGTGTGTGGTACGGCGGCACCCGCGTAGCTGCCTGGGCATCCCTCTTCCCCAGAGCAGGGATTCATCAGACAAGCTGCGGCAAGCTGCTGGCAGCTTTCTGGTTGTGGCCACACTGCAGCATGCATGGGCCAGGTGTCTGGGCTAGAGGATGCCTCTGAATTTTTGAGCATGTCTCCATGGGTGTTTTCTGGCTGCACACCAAGAACCCATGGCTGATCTTCCTACAAACTCCCGAGTAAAATTAGAACAAAAGTTCACTCCTCTCCCAAGGCAGCAGGAAATGCAAAGGGTGGGAAAAGGGAAAGTCGGAGCAGATGAGGTCCAGTGCCCACAGGCAGCCTCCCCATCACTGCCACCCCCTACCTGGGCAGGGGGCCAGGTCCTCCCCTGCCCCTCTGGCCAGCCCAGAGGGGCTCTGCTCTCAGTGCTCAGTGCCGGGCTAGCGGTGCTCAGAGTGATGGATTCCCTCCAGAGACTTAAGTCCTCAGTGGCTGGGCCAGTTAAATGACCCTTTCTAGCAGAGGGGGCTGGCTGGAGCCGCAGCTTTGCGCTGGGATGCCGTGCCGGGTGCCCGTGTGGGTGGCTGCACTGAGCAAAGGCTCTCCCTGCTTTTTCCAAGGAGGAGGGGGACCGACACAGGCAGAGCGGAGTTTTTGGGCACTCCGGACCTGTGCTAGCGGTGAACCTGGGAGCATCTGCTGCCAACCACTGCCTCAGGACAGCTGCATGCAGCATGGCAGGGCCGGGGCACTCCTGCCTCCGGGGTGCTCAGAGAGGGCAGCTCAGCAGCGTTAGATTGCAGGAGTTTATTTTTACCCAGCCCTGTTGCCAATGGGGACATGTCACATCTGTGGAGTTGATCAAAAGACGTCCCGAGCACTGGTGTCAGCTGCTCCTTGTGATCTCAGCACCAGGATCTTTTCCCTTGTGGCATATCAAAAGGAACAGGAGAATTTGACTGCTTTGCTATTTTTAATTGAACGCACGCACACAGACACACACATATATATATGTATGTATGGCTTTTCTAAAAATAAAAGCCTTTGCCTGTGTTCCCATGGGAAGATTTGGGGAGAAGGGGGAGCCAAAGTTGTTGCAAGACTTTTTCTGGAGCAGGCACAAGAGCAGTGGCAGGAAAGCAGGGAAAAGCCACAGCAGGTAAGGGACATATCTGAAAGGCCAAAGGATGTCTGATCCCAGAGCATCCCAGGATGCCCCTGAGCTGAGAGGACAGGAGAGCTGGGGGAAAGATAACTTCTGTGTCCCCCAGAGCTGGCAGTGATGAGGACAGGGACCCTTGGCCTGCTACATGCGCTCTGACCACCCGGGGAGCAAAGGTTTTTGCAGGGCAGGTTTGAAGAGCCCCAGCCTCGGGGGGCCCACGAGGAGTATCCGGATCCCAGAGCCATTCAGGGGGTTGCATAGACCTTATTTTGTGCTCAATATACTTGGCATCACCACGCTCGTGGATGTCTACCTGATACACCTCCCTCCAGCGGCAGGGCAGATGGAGGATGCTGGGGGGAGCATCCCCCAGCACGGGGGCAGCCACCGCACCCCCCGTGGGATTTGCTTGCAGCGGTGTGGCTGGGGCAGCGTCTCCAGCTCCCCGCAGCCCCCAGCCCTGCTGCGGCCGTGGGGACGGCCGGGACGGTGGTCTGCTGCTGGGACACAGCACTGGCTCGCTATCGGGCCGTGAAGCCATTCTCTCCTGCCCTTGCTGTGTCCTCCAAACCGCTCACCTTTTCCTTGCCACCCCTGGGAGGGGACGGGGCAGCAAGCAAGTGAGAAATGCAAAATGGGGGATGTGTGTGTGTGTGTGTGTGTGTGCACAGGAGTGCCCTTTGCTGTGGCACAGGGTATCCTAAACCCAGTGGGGAGCACTGGCACTCAGGCTCCTCAGCCTCTGGGAGCACAATCAATAATCCCAGATTATTCCAATTAAAGAAAAAAAGAGAAGAGAAAATGTAAAACACTGTCTTTTCCATTCCTGCAGCTCAGTTTGAAATCCCTTTTCCTTCCCGTCGAGCGTTGGAGGAGACCCTTCCAGGGCACTTCAGGAGGGGAGGCTCCCACGTTCTCCTGCCCCTGCAGCTTCTCTCACATGCTCAGATGTTTGCCTGCTCCAAAATCCATTTACTCTGTAAATAAACGTGCTTCCCTCATCACCAGAAAACTCCCCCTGGGCAGCCAATACCGGGAGGAGTTGCACCAGACCTTTCCCCTCCGTGTTTGAATCTGGATATTGGGGACAAACCCAAGCACGACCCGAGGGCTCGGTGCAGGCAGCCAGTGGCAGTGCAGGCAGGGCCATGCCGGTGCCAGCCCTTGCTCCCGCGCATGCTGGATGCAGCTGTGGGGCTTTGTGGCCGGGCAGCGGCTGGGAGCCGGGCAGAAGCGAGGCAGGTCCCCGCTGCTTTCTGTGGTTAAATGGAGATTTTTAGCTCGGTTCCTAGAGCTCGCATCGCCCTGTGTGCACCCAGACACATGCTGTTTTTCTCATCCTGCATGTGCGATGCGGGGCCAGGGTGTGCAGGACGTGCAGCTTCCTCAGAGGAACTGTCCCCGAGCAAAAAAAAATCAGTGCCACGTGGCGGGGATGGGGACGGGGTACAGAGCAGCCATGCTGACGGGGCGTGAGGCCGCCCACCCGAGCCTGGCCCCGTGCGTTGCTGTCTCGTGTGCGCCCAAGTCTCTTGCCTCGCTCTGTTATCGCTGATCCCCAGGGCAGCTGGATAACCCTGGATGTCACCCTTAGGGCACTGAAGGCAGGAATGGCTTCAGTTTCCCCTAAGAGCACCAGCAGCAGCTTTACTGCAGTCATGCTATGCTTTGAGCTTCTGCTCGCCGGAGGGGACAAGGCTCTTCCTGGGCAGATGCTGCTGTTCCGACGCCTGCCACAGCGCAGGATGCCAGAGGGGGGGTTTGGTGGCCATTGCAGGGCGGCTTTCAGTAACCAGCAGTGCCAGTGCCAGGCTGTGCAAACTGATCTGCAAGATGGGCAGCGAAGAGGTTCTCTCCACTGTCGTGTAATTGCTCCTGGAGCCACTTGCCAAAGCTGGTTCGAAAGAAGGTCTGAGTAATGGGCTTGAGCAGAGGCAACGGCACATGGGGAGACTGGCCGTCTCTGCAGGTGGTTGCTGCTGCCTGTTGCTGCCTGCCCCTGTGGCATGGCGGTGGGCTCACCGCCCTTCTCTTCTCTCCTCAGTACGAGGTGTCTGGCGAGGAGCACCTCTACTCTGACTTCCCTGAGATTGATTTATCCCAGCTGGATGCCAGTGACTTCGACTCGGCCGCCTGCTTCAGTGAGCTGCAGTGGTGCGGGGAGCACTCGGAGACCGACTCCAGCCAGTACAGCACCGACGACTCTGAGCTCTTCCAGGTACCCCCATCCTCCTGGCACAGCAGACCCAAGGACGGAGGCAGGGGGAGGGCGGGAGAGGGGGAGAAGGGGGGAGGAAGGAGGGGACCCACACAACTATTAATAGCTCCTCCCCAGCTGATTAGCGCTCCATTAATTTGCACGCCGGCTGTAAAGGGAGCAAGCAGAGTAAGGCTAATGAGGAGGTGGATGAGCAGAGGAGGGCTGCTGAGCCAGCCCTCCTATGATATATTATTAAAAGGGAATTACAGCTGGTGCACAGCACATCCCGTTCGATTCCCGGGATGGCAGGGTGTGCCGGGGCAGCAGTGCGGGGCTCTCAGGGCTGTGGTGTGGGGCGGGTTTATTCATTTCCCAGGAGCAGAAAGCAGCCTCTTCCCCCAGCTCTCCAGCTCTGGCATCCTCCCTGTGTTTGGGGCTGGGGTCCCTCTGGCAGAGGGCGGCTTGGTTTCTCTCCTCACCGTGGCCCTGGGACAGCCCCATCACTGTGCTGGCACCTGGGACCGTGCGGTACAAAGTGGTGCCAGGGCAGAGGATGCTCCCAGGCACCGGCAGGGCTGGTCCTTGTCCCTGGGCATGTTTTTGCCTCTCCTCGCACGAGAGCTGAGCGTCTTGCAGAGCTGTGGTGCCAGGGCAGGGCTGTGAGCACAGCGCAGGCAGGTTGGAGGCAGGGAGCTGCAGAGGCTGCCCAGGGACCGGGGCAGAGCAGGCTGGGCAGCCCGCTCGCCTTTCCCAAAGCTCATGCTGTGCCCTGGATGTGCCCCGGCCTTGGGGGCAGGGGTTGCCGTGCCCTCCTGAGCAGCACCCAGGCCCTTACCCCCTCAGACAAGGAGGTTGCGACCCACTGGTGCCTGCTAGTCACCAACTCGGTTACGTTTTGGGAGGGAGGAGGAGTTGTATTTAAACAAGGAAAAAAAAAAAAAAACCCAATATTTTCTAACCTGGCCATAATAACAACCCTCTGGCTTTTATGCTATGCTGATGCTGTGCTTGAAAATGGTCCAGTCCAGCTGAGGGACCTTCATCACGAGATGCATATTTTCCGCTGAACTTCCTGGGGAAAAGATAAACAGAAAAGAAATGCAAAAGACAGGCCCATTAGGAGCAGTGGAGTATGATGAAATGTATCCCGCTGAACTTGCATGCACAGTGGTCTCGTGCCAATAACAGGAGGAAAAGAAAGGGAGCCAAAAATGGAGCATCCTGCTGCCTTTCTCTGGAGCCTGCTCTAGTAACTGCGAGCAAGGTTAGGGCACGGAACAAAAGATATTTAATTTTCAAACAAGATGAGAGAAACAAGGGAGGCTGTGTGCAGTCAACAGTCCTCCTTGCGAGCCTGAATTTACCCCTGCGCTAATTTTGTAGCTGATGGTAGCCTGCTTCTTGTTGGACATGGTTTACATTCAGAATGTGATAGAGGAGGACCAAAAAGAAGGAACTCCTGGCTCACTTCAGCCATTCCTCAGCTTCTGCATCCTCTTCTGGGCTTTTGCACCATATTTTCAGACTGGAAGGGGACTCGTGGGGCTGTGTGGGACTGGGATGGTGCTGGGAGGGCTGGAGGTGCATCAGCCGAGGCGAAGCCCGGATCGAAAGAGAGGCCCGAGGGGGCAGGTCGGGGCGGCGGGCAGGGAGGAGGCAGGAGCAGCCCATGGCCCTGCCTGGCCCAGCACGGCCCCAGCGCAGCCCCAGACACTCACAAATGTCCCATCAGCATCCCCAGCTCATGCCGTTCGCCGAAAAAAATAGATCAGGGGAGCTGTAATACAAGGCCCATCTCATTCTGGGGGCTGTGCTCTGTTGATAGGGTCCCTTGCAGAGCACTGGGCGCAGCCGGCTTTAAGCGTGAGGGCTCAGAGCCCATGTCGAGCTGGAAGTGCCTGCGTTTGGAGGCTTTTAGTGAAAACAAAACCCCATACTGCTTGTTGCAAGCTGTGGCATCTGGCCAGCGGTGCAGCCCAGGCTGTGCTTCCCCTGTGCGCTCCCGGGGGGCCGTGCCCTCTTGTCCACTGGGCAGCCCTGAGCCGAGCTTACGGCTCGCCACGTTTTCTTTGCCTTCCCTGTCGGGAGAGCTGCGAATAACCAGCCGTGCCCTCTCGGGCCTCCCGAGCCCCGCAGAGGGCAGGGGCTGTGCCTGCCGCCTCCCTGGGTTCCCGTCCCGGCTGGATGCGGCGCTCACCCTGCTCAGCAGTGCTGTGAGAGCCAGCGCTGGGGGGAGCTTGCAGCCCAGAGCCGGGAGGATTTGGGCAAGGAGCCTTTTAATCACAGATCCTTTATCTGCTGCTGTTTGCCTCATGGTGGGGTGGAGGCGACTATGGGGAGAGAAGATGCTCTGATTCGTTATTTTCCTGCTGGGGGTGCAGGGGGACAGACTGATGCTCCTTTTGCAGTTGGGTCTCTCTCCCCCTCATCCCATCCTAGTGCTCCGCTGGGAAGAAGCTCTCCCAGGGCCCCCGGGGGTCACTGGGAAGTGTGGGTGCTGGTGTGGCAGTGCCAGACCCTCTTCCCCCCTGCCCAGCATCCCCCGGTCCCTCTGCCCAGTCTAACTCCCCTCTCTTCTCTGCCTGCTCCTTTCAGATAATAGACAGCGAGAACGAAGCGCTGCTGGCAGCCCTCACCGAGACATTGGATGATATACAGGGAGATGACATGGGCCTGGCTGCCTTCCGAACTATGGAAGAGGGGGACACGCTCAACCATGCCTCCACCTCGCCTGCCCCCTCCCCCAAACCCACCGCCCCGGTCACGGGGGGGCCGCCCCCGGCCCCCGAGTTTGATGAGCTGTCTCTAGTAAGAACCCACTTCCTACTGTTTAAGGTGGATTTGGATGAGCCCCTGATAAGCCGGCTGCATGGGTATGATAGGAAGCAAAGGTCTGAATTTTTTCATTCTAGGCTTAAAACTCTCTTTAACCGTCAATACCAAAGCATATACTTGTATTGTATACGTATACATGTTCTGCATCATTGCTGTCACCTCCATCACCATTCTCACGGGAACAAGCTGTGTGTATACTAATATATATATGAAGGGGGTGGGGGCGGGTGTCACAGGGGCGGGGGCTGCTTTGGCAAGACCCACACCTGCCCTTAATCGGTCGTGTGGACGTGGGGCTGCCCGGGGGTCTCCCTAGCGCATCCCAGCCCCGTGCCCATGGGCAGCGGCGGCTGCTCGCACCGGCTCTGCCTCAGGGTCAAGCTCCCCGCTGCTCTCGCAGGAGGGACAGAGGGGGCTTGGCTGGAGTGTCAGACAGCCCGTGCCCCCCCCAGCTTTCAGCGGGAGGGTTTGACCCCCCTTGCCTTCCACCACAACCCCCTCAGGGGCTGTGTGGCCTCCAGTCCCTACAGATGTGGTGGCCGGAGCATCCCTCTTTGTTCCCTGCAATATGGGGGCTCCAGCCCCGCTCCCCCTCCTGGCCAGGACTAACTGGCAGCATTTGCTGCAGACCCCCGCGGCCCCGGGAGGTGCCCTGGGACAGGGGCACCCCGCTCCCTCCCGGGGCTCACCGTCCCCCCCCGGGACCCCCAGCCTGGCGCCGAGGTGTCCCCAGAGCCGGGGCTGTGGCGGGGGGGGGGGGGATCCCGGGGGGGGAGGCGGGGATGTGGCGGGGAGGAGTGACATCCAGTGGTGAGAGCGTGCATTTCCACCGCCCACGCCCTGCGCAGGGGGGTATATATCACACACGATATGTATGTGTATATATAGGATGTATACGTTGCAGGGGTGGGGGGGAAAAAGTGCTGGTCGCTTCCACCAACAGGGGCTGCACACCTAAAGCTGTGGGTGCCCCCGCTGAGGTTTCCCGGCAGACCCTGACCTGGGCACCCACTATTTCTGTCACCCCTTAAAACCCCCCGTGCCCGCCCCGGGGCTCTGTGCCCGCCGGCCAGCGCAGGACCCCAGATCTGTCTCCTCTGCGCAGTGCCCCGGCGCCAACGCAGTCGTCTTGCTGTTGAGCTGTGTTGCCTTGGGTTGTTAGCGCAACAGGGGTGGAATAAGAAATGCTGTTGCTGGGTGTGGGCTTTCTTTTTTTTCCCTAACCAAAAATGGTTTTGAGTGGAAGAAAAATGTAATGCCAAGCTTGCCATCAGAAGTGGCGGCACTCTGGGTAACCCAGGGAGAACCCCACTCCCACTGCCCGTGGGCTTGGCAGAGCGTGTTGGGGAAGATCCTCAACAGGTCCCACAGGGGCTTGCGTATGCAAAATGCCTTGCAAGCTTGTTAATGGATCGAGGCCCTCTCTGGATAGTTTGGCCAAACGAGCCTTGCACGGGGACCCAAGCGAGCAGTCCAATGCTGTCACTCCTGCCAATGTAAAGTCTCTGTCACCTAAGGGCCAAATGGATGGAGTGAGAAGTTTGGACGCCACGACAGCTCCTGTGTGTCTGACTGGAGCGGGGATACCCCGGGAAGTAAATTCCCTCATGTCCCCGCTGCCCTGACCTGCTGGGGGCCCTTGGGGACATGGGTGAATGCTGCGGAGACGGCCCTGACCCCTGTCGGGGCTGTGTGTGGCCAGGCACCTGCCCCTGCAGCCACAGGGAGGTGGGAAATGCTTCCCTGCCTTTTTATTCCCCCACCCCCCCCCGATTTTTGGGTCAGATGCTCAGCAATGGATGTGCCCAGCACAGGCGCTTTCTCCCGCTCGTGCTGCGATGCCGACTCCTTTTCTTGCCACTTCTCTTTGCAGCTGAAGAAATTGCTCCTCTCTCCATCGCACGTGCCTCCGAGCTGTGAGGCTCAGCGGGACGGGAGCGCCCGGCGCCCAGGGACCCTCAAGTCCCGACCTGCACGGCCCTGCACAAAGGTACTTCCTCGGCAGGCAGAGCTTGAGCCAGTCCAGCTCCCACCTCTCGGGAGCCGTCCTAAAGGAGGTCACCAAAGGACAGTGTCGGGGAGCGTGGGCAGCCGCTGAGCTGGGCCAGGGGCTGGGGACAGGCGGGGACCGTCACCGCCGGCAGAGCGGCGTGCAGCGTTCCCGTCCCCGTCTGCGTGGGGGCTGCAGTCTGGGCTCAGCAAAACCTTCAGGCTTTGTGCTGGGCTGAGAAACATCTCGATCTCATTTGGACCCAGTGGGGTCAGGCCTCTCCCAGCTTCCCTGAGCACTGGTTTGTGAAAACCCCGCATGCTCCCTGGGCCACCCCCTTGCCCCCCTCCCCACTGACTCACGGCCCAAGCCGGGAGCCATCGGCCGGGGAGAGCTGCATGCCATGCTGCAGAGCCAAGCTTGTCACTTAAGCTAATCCCCTGAAACCCAGCAGAAGTTGCCGTCAAAGATTTTTCTACTTGGCTAATAGTAATTGTGCGGTGCATTAGGCCTGGCAAATTAGATTGCCTGGGAAGAGCAGCAAATCCCTCCTGGGGAGAAGGAGCATCATTACGTGCCCGCTGCCAGAGGGGCAGTGATTGGGCTGCCAGCCCTGCATGCCCGGTGGAAACCTCCTGGGGTGTGGGGCTGACCCCCAGGCAGGTCGGGATGCTGGTGGGCTGGGACTGGGGGATTCGAGGATGTGGGGTGGCTCTATTAGCCCAGGGGCCTTCTCCCCCCATGCCTGGTACTTGCATCGGGTTGTGGCTACAGGGCTTGGGGCTGACTTTCTCCTCTCTCCTCTGCGAAGGTGGAGGGTCCCCGGGACAGGAGGGCGAGCATCCCGCAAGCGCAGAGCCGCAGCTGCACGGAGCTGCACCGGCACCTCACCTCCACGGCCCCCTGCCCCCAGACCAAAGCCCCCCGGGCACCAGAGGACTGCCCCAGCAGCCACCGCCACCCATCCCTAGGCGACTGTGCCCATCACGAAGATGACAGCGACTCCAGTGAGGACTCGCTGAGCTCTGGCGACTCGATGACCCCCCCTTCCTCAGCAGAGGATGGCTCCAGCAGCCAGTTCTCCTGCGAGGGGGAGATGCACTCAGTGGTGGAGCTCATCCGCTACATGCACACCTACTGCCTGCCACCGCGGAAGCTGCCTGCCCGCGACACCGACACCAAGCCCCAGCCCTGCAGCAGCCCCTTCAAGAGAGCCAAACCGGACTGCCCCGTGCAGCTGGGCCCCCCCAGCAGCGCACAGAGCCGCCCAGGCTGCGCCTGGCAGGTGGCCGGTGGCTGCAAGAAGCCCGGAGCATCCTTCTCCATCCTGAAGGAGCTGCTGGCACGGGACCTGCTGTGCGACGTGAGCAAGCCATATCGCCTGGGCAAGCCTGTGTACGCCGCCCTGGCCCGGCCGCCCAGCTCCTTCTCCCCTGTACCAGCAGCCCAGGATGGGGAGGATGCCGGTGGGACCTGCACATCCAGAGCCAAAATGGCACCGGAGAAGGGTGAGCCGCGGCAGAGCCCCGGTGCTGAGGCGGAGGCACCGCGGGAGCTGGGTGGCCTCGAGGACGATGCTGGGAGGCATGTGGCCACCCCAGGCGCAGCTGCGGGGAAGGTGGCCCGCAAACAGGAGAGCACCATTTATGCCGTCCGCCGGTCCAAGAGACTCAACCCTGAGCTCGGCCACTGGCTCTCCTTCCTCGATGAGCCACCCCCCAAGCCCCCCGTCCCCCAGGAGGCAGGGGACAGCCATGGCCCCCAGGACACCCTGGCCTGCAGGGAGCCCGCACTGTGCCCGGCGCTGGAGGGCTTCTCCGCTGAAGAGCCTGCGGCCGAAGTGGAGGTGGGGGGCACGGAGGAGGGAGACAGTGGGAGCACAGCACCGCTGGCGGAGCCTCAGCCCCTCTCCCTGGGCTCCCCGGGGGACGGCGAGGTGGTCAACAGGACTGAGAGCCAGCGCTGTGCCCTCCTCGAGCAAGCAGGTGAGGAGGACCGGGGGCTGTCGCTCTGCCCGTCCCTCCCCAGTGCACCCATGCTGCCTGTGCTGTCCCTGCCAGGCGCCTGGCACTCAGCTGGCAGTGAAGCTGTGAGCAGCCCCAAGCACAGCTGAGCCCTTACCCATGTGCTGGCTGGCTGGGGGTCCCGTGCATGGGGAGTTGGGGCCCTGTTCTGGTTTTGGGGTGCTGTTTCAATCCATGGGGGCCTTCTGCCTCAGTTTCCCCATCCTTATAACAAGATGAAGGAGTCAGCATAGCGCCAACCCAGCAGGGACCGAGCTGCCTCATCCCTCCAGGTCCCTCTTCCCTGCCCGCTCACCCTGTGCCTGAGCGCTAGGGTTCAACTGCATTGGTGCCCTAAAATCGCAGCTATCCGCAAGCGCTTGGTGAGCATGAATGGCTCAGCCCTGGCAGTGTTAGCCCTCCCGCAGACACTGCCGCTTGCAGGCAGCAAAGCCCACAGTCCCCAGCCCCCCACCAGGCCAGGGTGGGCAGAGGGGCCCTGGCTCCCACCGCGAGCACCCCGGGCGCTGGAGGGAGCACAGCTCCTCTGGTAACCCTGCTTCTCTCCCTGCCTTTCAGAAACACCCAGGTGTCTCACGCTGTCCTTCGCACAAACGTAAGTGTGCACGGGGCTAAATGAACCGCGCTGGGGCTGGAAAGCCACCTCGGTTTGTCTGGCTGGGCTTGCATCTGCAGTGACCAAGCGAAGCTGCTTTTGCAGAGCAGACTGAGCCGTGCAGCTGGGTGCGGGGCTGTGGGGAGCCGACCCTTGCTCAGGTGCAGGGGCTGTGGGGAGCCGACCCTTGCTCAGGTGCAGGGGCTGTGGGGAGCTGACCCTTGCTCAGGTGCAAGGAGCTTGGAGAGCTCCCGGCCGAGGGCAGGGCGTTTACGGGGAGGGCACGCTGCTCGCCTTGCTGCCCCTCACACCCCTCCACGGGGTTACTCTGTCAGGCATTAGCTGTGGTGGGAGGGCTTGCTTGTAGGCAGGGTTTTCTCAGCTTCCTTTTGTTTTTTGGGGACTGTGGTTCACCTAAAGACCTTCTCTCTCCTTATTTTCTCCTCTTCTCCAGTGACCCAGCCTTTGGGAAAAGAAACTTTGAGCCGATGCTGACTGTGGAGCTGTGTGGGACAGCAGGTAGGACAGGCCTTTCATTTTTTAATTTTGAAAAAATCCTTCTTGAGAGGGGGCAAATTTACCCTAAATTCAGCCTGGAGTTGCCGGCTTTAGCCAAGCCCCGCTGAGCGGGCATGTTCATTCCCCAGCCCGGAGCCTCCTTTGCACCGCACGTGCAGGGGACTTGCCATGCACTGCCTCCACATCCAAGCACTGCAAGTGGCTCACAAGCTGCATCCTTCAGGGATGCCAGTGCTGGGGGGACACATTTGAGAAGGGGACTAGTTCAGGGGGCCCCTGCCTGAGCCAGGAGGGAAGGGAGAGTCCTCTGGTCCCTTCTGGGATCAGGCATCCTTTTTCCCCAAGTGCCACTGGATAGATGAGGCTGTGGGGGCCGAGCAGCCGCCCTCCCTTGCGACGCCTGGTGCAGCTCAGGCGTCAGGGTGGGACAGGGCAGGACGGCAGGGGCAGAGCTGACTCCTGCCCTTTGTTCGGGGGGGGGTTCAGGTCTCACGCCGCCCACCACTCCGCCGTACAAGCCTGCCGAGGAGGACCTGTACAAGCCAGACATCCCCCAGGAGCCAGGGAAGGAGGACAGGACAGCCCCCAGCCCCAGGGGCGCAGGGGATGCAGCAGCCTCCCAGAAAACCCCCAAGAAGCACCCTGAGAGGACAGAGCTCTTCGCCCACCTGAGCCGAGCTGCTGGGCGCCCCGCGCTCCTCGAGCAGCAGGGCGTGCTCAAGCGGCCCTTCTCCCGCTCCTTCGGGGACCACGACTACTGCCAGGTGCTGAAGCCCGAGGCTGCCCTGCAGAGGAAGGTGCTCAAGTCGTGGGAGCCCCTGGGCCAGGTGGAGACGGAGCACAAGAGGAGGGTCCCGGCTGCCCACTACCAGGGGCTGGACCTCGGCAGCAAGGAGGCAGGCGGCGAGATGCTGTGGAAGGACGGCGTCAAGCAGCTGAGAGACCAGGAGATCAGAGCCAGCTTAACGAAGCACTTTGGCTTTCTGGACAGTGCTCTCGATGACGAGGACATGGTCTTCTGCAAGACCCCTGAATACGACACCGTCTTTGAAGACAGCTGCAGTGAGAGTGGCTCCCCTGTGGAGGAGGAGGAGGAGGAGGAGGAGGAGGAGGAGCACAGCAACACCAAGCTGTGCCTGCGGAGAAACCCCCTTTCCAGGACCAGTTTGCATTCCTGTTCCCGAAGCAGGTCCAGCTCGGGGTCTTCGTGCTGCCGGTCCCGATCGCCCGCAAGCAGGCGGACCTTCAGGTACAGGGGGCAATGGCGGGGGGCGCTTGGGGCTGTTCTTGCACCCTGTGTTTTTGCCCTGGTGTGTGGCAGCCCCATCTCTCTCTGGTCTGCTAGCCCAAGTAATAAAGATGCTAATGAATGAAAGAAAAAACATTGAAATAATTGGTACTACATCAGCAGCTGCTGAAAACATCAGCCATGGCCAGAGAAGGCAGCACTGGGGGAAAGCAGTCAGGGATTTCCATCGTGCTGGGGATGATCGGGCATGGGCAGGGGCTGGAGCTGTGCCTGGGAAGGGGTGAGTGCCGGCTGGGACCCCTCTGGCATCTGTCGGAAAGGACTTTGTAGCGTCCTTTCCAGTGTTTCCAGAGCCCCGTCTCTCCTCGGCTGCCGGTGCTTCCGAGCGCCCGCCTGCCCGCTGCTGCAGATGCCGCATGCCTCAGCTTCGCTTTGACATTTGAAGCTTTCCCCACCGGATCCACCCCCCTGGCTGACCTCCTCTCCCTCGCTTCCCAGGTGTGAGAACGGCGAGCAGTGTCAGGGCGGGAGCGGGCACCGGGGCCAGCTGGAGAAGAGACGGGAAAAGGCCATCGTAAGTGAGCGGGGACCCCGCGGTGGGACAAAGCAATCCCCAGCCCTCAGTTCATCTCCCTCTCCAGAAAAGCAGCGGTGGAGCCCATTAGCCCTGGCTTCAGCATCCTTTGGTGCGAGGCCAGTGTTAAACGAGGACATGGGGGTGGAGGAGGGAGAGAAAAACCTAACGTGAAGCGGAAGCCACCGGCGATTGGCAATACATAGAGTCCTTGGCACAGAAATGCCCAGAGCATCCTACGCCGGTGCTTCAGCGCACATGGCATTGGCAGTTAGCAGGGTGAGCTGGGGAATCCCTGAAGCTGCTTAGTGTTATGGATGTGGTCCTGCTGCAGAGGCAGCCTCAGGCACTGGGAACCCTGCGTGTGCCCACGAGCTGGGTGGGGTGATGGGCATGCGGGGAAATAACACACACACACACGTGCGCTCGCACATGCCTCTGGCATTTTTTTCCTGCAGTGCAATTGAATTTTGCCCTTAGTAATTCTTGGGAATATTTCCTGGCATCTTCACCAGGAGAAGCTGAAAAAGCTGCAGGAGTGCAGGAGAAATTTAAATGAGAAGAGGGCAGGGGTGGCTGCTTCAGCTTGGCTGTAACACCATCCTAAGGGATGTGGCTGTGGCTGTCCCCTGCAGCGGTGGTGTCCTGGGGGTGACACCCATGAGCTAGCTGGAGCAGAGACAGCCAGACCCCGGAGATGTGAAGCGGTGCCTGCAGCGGCATCGCCCTGCTGCAGCGTGATTCCTGGCACTGGCTCCTCGGGCTTCTCGGCGGCCCTGCATTTCCAGCACCCGTTGGTGGCACAGAGGCACGGGGCTCCCAAAGCCTGAAATCTTTCGCTTGCTTTGCCAGGGAGAAGGCCGGGTGGTGTATATCAGAAACCTCTCCAGCAGCATGAGCTCCAGCGAACTGAAGAAACGCTTTGAAGTGTTTGGTGAGATCGTGGAGTGCCAGGTCCTGTCCAGGACTAACAGGTGGGTGGCGAGCGAGCTGTGTCCTGGGGCTTCAGCGGCTGTGGGCCACCCCTCTCCTGCTGCAGCATCAGCGCTACCAGGTGGTGCAGGGCCACCCCTGCATCCAGCTGTGCGCGTGCGAGCAGTGTGGTTGTGCCAGTGGGGTGAAGCGCTCTGCGCCACGCCAACCCCCTTGGTCAGCCGAGCCCACGGTCTTGGCGCTTTGGGCAAGGAGATGCAGCGTCCCCCCAGGTCCAAGGGCATGGGAAGGACCAGCGAGATGGAGGGACAGGGGTGCAGTGCTGGGCAGAGCCACGTCAGAGGAGCTGTGGGGCTCATCACATCTTGAGTTCTTTCTCTGGTTGCTCAGGGGGGATAAGTATGGCTTCATCACCTACCGGTATTCAGAGCATGCTGCCTTATCTCTGAAGAATGGCACCTCGCTAAGGAAGAGGAACGAGCCTTTGTTCCAGCTCAGCTCTGGTGGCCTCGGGCACTTCTTCTGGACCAGATACGCTGACTTGGGTAAGAAAGCGGGAGCTGTTTTTTCTGAAGCGTCCTGCTTATCAGCACAGAGCCATAAGGGCATGTTGCACTGCTGAA